TTTTCCAGGCAGTGCTGCAGGGCTGGGAGAGGGGCCTCAGAGACAGGCAAGGGATGGGGATGATCCCCTGTACCCACCACTGCCCAGATGGAAAATAACTTCATTTTTTAACTTACTGGTGTGTTTTTCTTGTCACTCTGCTCCTACGTGGACGTTTCCCAGCCTTTTTTTATTGTCTGCTCAGTCCCTTTATTTTATCTTATTTTTTGGGTCTTGTCTCTCCTACCATTTGTCTTCTCTGTTTTTTTAATTTATTTTTAGTAACCTTTCACCCCACTTTTTACTGTTTGCTCTATTTTCTCTGTATTATTTTCACTCTTGCTTTGCTCAGTGGTGTTTCCCACGAACTGGCCGTGCTGGCTGCCCTTTGAATCCAGAATATTTGATGATATTTCCGTATTTCCAACAGCAGATGGACCTAGAAAGCCAAATTCTGGGCTTCGTTTTCCCCCAACTTGCTTTGGTTTGCTCAGGGCACGGTTTGCTCCTCGAAAATGAAAAAAATTCTCTCTTGAATGGCATTTCCCCACCCCTTTTCCTTTAAACCTGGAAGGAATCTCGAGGTTTTTTTTCTCAGCACTTGCAGTGGCAAAAGATGATGCAGAGCAAAGATCTTTACATTTATTTTTTTTTCCTGAAGGAGACTTGCAGGGAGTGCTTTGCACCCACTTTTCAGCTGGTTCTAACACCATATTTTAAATATACTGCCATGAAACACTCAGAGCAGGGCACTGAGGACTCTCCTCCAGGGATCCTCTCGCTCCAAGTGTCAGCCTGAATTTCCTGCCAGGATGCAGAACATCCCAACGAGCTGCTCCTGAAACTTTAACAGCTTCCTTTGAGCCCATTAGGAAAGGAGATTTTTTAGCCTTCAGAACGGGCTTAATGTTGTCTCTGAGAGTATTTCCCCGTCTGATGGGGGTAAGATTGCCAAGCTTCGTTAAAGAGAAGTAAATTGTGACAACTTAAAACTGAAAAGGCAGCACAGGACTGGGGGTTGGAAGGGTCGGAAAGTCAGTCTGGGATTGCTTTATTGGTGGTTTGGCTTGGAAAATGAGAGACCTTTTCCTTTTCCCACCACCCACAGAGCTTAGAGGGACGAGAGGAGATTGATGTGCAAGTTCTGCCGGGGTCGGTGCTTGTAAATGAATCCCCATTTCTGGGCTTTTGCCGGAAATCTTCCCAACATTTATTTATATTTTTACATTGATTTGTGTGATGATTTAGATTGATTGATGTGATGATTTTTATATTTCTATTTGATTATTTTTCTACTGATATGATGGTTTCATGTGCTGGAGTTGGGGTGGGGTGGAGGAGGACCTGCACTGTGGGGGTGAGGGCACAGCAAGGACCACCAGATGTGGGTTTGGGGGTTTCTTGGTGGGTTTACTTGGTTTAGGTGTTATTTCTTCGCTCAGCCAGGTTGCAGCATGAAGGAGAAGTGATTCTGTGCCCATGCAATGGGACACAAACAATTGACACCCCACCCAGGAAATGTGGAATCCTGCCATGGGTTGGGTTGGAAGGGACCTCAAAGCCCACCTCATCCCACCCCCTGCCACGGGCAGGGACACCTTCCATTGTCCCATAATGAGACATTTCAACTGGCTGTGGTAAATCCAGGCAGGTGCTGAGGCTCTGTAGAACCTGCACAGTGGGGTGGGCTCTGCACTTTGGCCAGATTAGACAGAGACTTCATTGCGAAATTCAAATTACGGCCGTTTCCACCCCCGGATAATGGTAATTGCTGTTTAATACTTTTACATCCTAATACCTTCACAAAGCACGAGGAATTATTGGGATCTTTCTCCAATGATCTCTTCTGATGAAGGAAATATTCCCTGGGAGTTCTTGGCATTAATTCCCACCGGCTGAGAGCGGTGGCTCGATGTTAAGCTGGGCTGGAGCAGGCAGAGGAGAGATTTCAAAGCCCAAAGCAACACAAAGATGTGGAAATGAAGTGACACACACGTTTTGAAAGCAGCTGGGGAGTAGCTGGGAGAAATAAAACACGGCTTTAGAAGAAGTGTAATCTCCCAAGGCTTGGAAAACCTTAACCCCAACCTGTTTGTGTTCAGCATCCCTGGATTCTGGCAGGGATGGGAGAGGCAGGGATTGCATCACTTTGGGGGTGTTCTTTGTGGTTGTTTTAGCAGAAAGCCTGACTTTCTTTTAGAGGTGATTTAGGCAGAGTGAATCCTAAAATCCTGGAATGGTTTGGGTTGGAACTTCTCGTCCCACCCCCACCAGACCAGGTGGCTCCAAGCCCTGTCCAACCTGGCCTCGGGCACTTCCAGGGGCAGGGAACACCCAGCCTGGCTTGGGACACCTGGGTGGAGCAGCCCCAGCTTTCTTGGGGTTTTTTTTCCAGCCCATTTGAAATCCCCATTGTCGTGGATGTGCCTTTGGAGGGGCTTCTCTCCAGGCACTTGGGAATGAGGGATTTATTTTCCTGGGAGTCACAGGATGGTTTGGATTGGGAGGAACCTTAAAGATCATCTCGTTCCCCCACCCCACCCCCAGTTTTAGATCTGCTCTGTTAAATAAATCTCTCTCTCAAACTCACGTCAGGGGAATAAACAAAGCACCATTACAGTGACATATTTAAAAGCTGCTGTGCTAAAAACAACATGTTACTGCGAGCCACAGTCAACCAGGAATAAATGGGGGCATTAAACAGGGTTTTCCATAAATGTTAATGCATTTTAATCTGCTCCACTCCCTACCTGCCAATTAAATTCCACAACACACTTGTAATAATGAAATAAAACGTGGCAATAAAAGTGTACAGCAGAGTTAACCCCTGGCTGTCTGGCAGAGGAGGGGTGGGAAAAGCATGTCCTTCATCCCTGGCTTGGAAAAAGGTTTAACAGGGGGCGAGGCCGTGGCTGTGCAAGGACACAAAATACTCTGAGTGAATTGCATCTTTTTTTAATGGCAAAAAAACCTTTCATTGCTGGATTCTAAAAGCCTGAAATGGGTTAAAATAAAGTAAAATAAAATGCCAAGTTGGAAAAGTCAGGGGAGCTGCCTGTGCTAATTATAAAACCCCAGTGAGAGTGGGGTGAGCAGGCTGAGAGGCACAGTTGTAAGTAAATAAAAATGACAGCGGGATTTAATTTAAATTAAGAAGGATCTGTGAGTGTAACCTGTGACCTTTGGGTAGCTGCTTGTGCTGGGAAGGCAGCAAAGGGTGAGGTTTGTCTGGCTCCTGTCCCCGCTCCTCACAGGTGAGGAGCAAAGGCTGACAGGTGGTTTTTGGGTGGTGGTGCTTGGTGGGTCAGATCTGCTGTGCAGGGCATGGAGAGGTTTGGATTTGGGATGTTCTGGAGCTGCTGCTGGTTCCCAGTTCTTTGGCAGTGGGGTGGGAGTGGATGATGCTGCTGGAGATGCTGAGGCTCCTCCCACCCACCTCTACGTGGGACACACAGCAATTCCAGGGGTTTCCAGCAAAAAAATAGGACTTGTTTCTGAGTGACTTGTTATTGCAGATTGGGCTTGTCCCTCAGGAGGTTTCTGCAGCTCTGGGAATGCTGGAATTCCTCACAGTTCTGGTGCCCGTGTGCCCCTGGGATGGGGGGGACTTCTGAGCTGCAGAGATGTGTTTGTTTGTGCTCCAATCTCTTCAGGAATTAGCAGAAACCCATTAGGGAAAGGCCTAATCCCATATTGGAAAGGGGGGATTAAGCAACCCAAGGAACTTGCTGTGAGGAGTTCATTAATCGACACTTTCAGCAGCAGAGCCAGGGACAAAGTGGCTCTGGAGAAAGGGGTGGAAGATCTGAAGGAGGAGAAAGAGAGGTTTTTGTGAGCAAAACCAGGGTCCTACTGCCCACATCCCACCTTTAGTCGCCCTCAGTAGAATGAGGATGCAGCTCCCAGTTGAAATCAGGGATTTCAAAAAACCCCACTAGACTCTGAGCGAGTTTCCCAGAGTTTCAAATCCCAGAGATGGCCAAGGATGGGTGGAATAATAAAAGCAACGGGTTGAGGCTGCGAATTTCTTGGCAGGAGTTTCCCTGCTGCTGAACTGTGGGTTTGTTCAGATAAGAGGGCAGGAATTTCAGCCCTTCCAGCCTCAGTGGGAGCTGAGGGAAGCGTTAGGCTCCCAGGGATGAGCTGATTGCTCCGTCCTACCTCCAATTCAGAGGTGTTGACCCTGGAACAGAGTGGACCTGTGGGATCTGAGGGGAGTGGGGGGCTCAGCCCCCGTGGTGCAGCTTCAGGAGCTGCAGGTGAGGAAGGGCTGAGGATCCTCCAGGCAGGATTTGACTCATTCCCAGCCCCCCCCGAGCAGGGCTGGGATTGCAAATGGCAAAGCTCTGGGGACAGATCCTGGTGGGAACCACAGGGAGCAAAGCCTGGCCTGGCCACCAACACCAAGAGCACCACGATTTGCCATCAGCTTTGCTTAGAAAAGGATAAAACCCAAAGCTCTTTTCTGGAGTTCCCAGCACGGGTACCTTCCTCAGGGTTTTTTCCCTGGGATGCTGGAAGCCTCCCCTGCATTCCATCAGCAGGCAGACTTGCAGACTTGGAAAGCCTGCCAAAAACACGAGCTCCAGCCCTGCCTGCGCTGCCTGAGCTGGAAGCAGCAGCTCTGTCCCTGTTCCTGGAGCTGCTGGAGTGGTGCTTCCCACCGGGAAGGGCGTGCAGGAGGATGGAGACCTTTATTTCCTTCAGTAAATCAGATGGATGCTGATTAAAACCCCCCAGGATGGCCTGATTGGGAAAGCAGGAGGAAAAGAAGTCCAAAAGGATCCGAAGTCATGACATATTAATGCTTGGAAATGTCTGGAGCTGCGGGCACGGGGAAGGAGGATGAATAATTCACACCAGCCAGGATTTCCCTGGCAAGGTCGAGCCTTGTGAGAGGGGAGGCTTCGGAGGGAGCAGCGTCCTCCTGTTCTCCTGGTGCTGCAGAGAGACCTCCATCCATCCAGAGGGACTTGCAGCCCTGGCCAGCCCTTGGGAAGAGGGACTCCCTTGGATCCATCGGGACACGGCGCCGCTGGAAGAGTTCAGCTGGAATCTCGGATGCCGAACGGATTCCAAGGCTGTTTTTCAGCTCCTCTGGTGAATCCCAGAGGGATGGGCAGCGCTGAGCAGGGCAAGGAGGGAGCTCAGCCGTAGGCACCAGAGCTCCTGATCCCAACAATTCCCCAGGATTGCTCACAAAATGCCTTGAACGCCGAGCCCGGGCTGGAAGATGAATGTGAGTACCCTGCAAATCAGATGCTTTCAGCTTGAGCTCTGCTTTCAGGCTGGCCAGGCTCGTTTTTTCTTTACCCCCCCCCTCTCTGCAGAGACACAGTTTGGAGACTGATCCTTTAAATAATGCCCAGAACCCCCCCCCTGCACCTTGTTGGAACGAGCAGGATTTGTGTAGGGAGGGAGCTGAAGGATAGGGAAGAACTTCAGGGATTCTGATTGCAGAGCCTGAACCCACCTCGTGCTGCTTTTCAGAACCATTGATTATTAAGACATTTATTTGTTTATCAAGGCATTTATTATTATTAAGAGTTCTGCAGCATTACTTAATAATAATAATAAATGTATTGGCTCGTGCTTCTCATCCCCCAAATCCATCACAGCCTCCAGGCTGAGTTCAGCAGCCCCCAGTGCTTGTGGGTTTTATTCATCTGCAAAAGCAACAGCCACAGCAGCAAACACTGGATCCTCGGGAGAGATCCCAATCGATCCTGAGTCAATATTTCTAACCTTAATTTGATGTATTTGAGGAGTTTTACACGGAGGGTTTGTTTCCCCCCCCAAAAAAAATGTATCGAGGGCAGACCACGGATTTCTTGGTGGCACCTTAAGGGAGCTTGTGGGAGAGTTTAAAGGGAATTATTCCAGGAGCCTTCTGAAGCTGTGGGTGTGAGATCCTGCAAGGAGGGCTGTGGGTGTCCAGGAATTTGGGATGCTGGGCTGGGATCGTGACTCAGCATCTTCAGGGTGTTTGTGTGAATGCCCAGGGCTGGTGGAGATAAAAAATGAGTAAACTGGGTCTTTAGAGGGGCCCAGGGGAAAATCCAGTGTGTGGACACACTTGCAGGAGCCACAGGAATGATATTTAAGTCATTTTAATGGCTCAGGCAGGACATTTTCACACAGCCAGCTCTTGGGAACAGCTGGAATGTTTGGGATGGAATCTGCCTTGGAAAATGAGGCTTCAGTCTGGTTTGTGGGGAAAATGATTCTCCCTCTCTCCAGGCTGGGATATCTGGTGGGAGCCCCAGCATGGCCAGCCCTCCAGGAGCAGGGAAAATGGGAATAGATCTTATGGGAGGGGATCAAAGAGCCCCTCAGGCTGAGCCCTGGTGGGGAAGCGATGCTGGAGAAGTGATGCTGTTCTTAACTAACTGCTGGGAAAATCCTGTGTGCCCTCAGGAAGCAGCCTCACATCCCTCCTCTCCATGTGTGATCCCTGGAAAGATGAAGGTGCAGGAATGTGGGGGCTCCTGAGCTGAATTTGGGGCAAAATCCCAAAGGGTGGAGGCTGCAGAGCCGAGCTCTGATCCCAAATCCCTTCATCCCCCGGGGAAATGGCATTTCTGGGCTCCTGACTTGTCCCTGCTCCTGCCTTGGCCCCTTTTCCAGAGCCAAGGACACGGAGGGACTGTCACTTCTCCAGTGTTTCCTGGAGCAGGAGAGCTGCAGAGAGGGAGCTGCTGCTCCTCAGCCAGGATTACAATCCCTCCAAATTACAATCCCCTGGGACACCACACCAATTCCACTGCCAAGGACCTCATTCCAAGGGTGGGGAGGGAGAAGATCCAAGATCCAAGCCCGAGGGAGCTGATTCCCCAGCTCAGAGGAGTTCCAGTTCTGAGGGAGCTGAGTTTAGTTTGGGAGAGGGGGGTGATGCTCCTTCTTCCCCCCCCATCCCTGAGGAAGCTTTAATAACCAGCTTTAATCCTGTGGCATGGAACAGTCTTGAGCTGTGTTGAAAAGCATCTGGGACAGAGCAGAGTAGTTTTAAACATGGTGTCCCTTTGGGGACACACAAGTTTATCTGGCAGTCCTGTGGGAAGTGCTGGTTTGTGCCAGTGGAAGCAATTCCCTGTTTTGTGTAGCCAGTCTCTTTTATCTTCAGTACATTCTCATTGCTTGTGGGGTTTGAGTGTTAAATGAAAGCCATCAAGCGTGTTAGAAGTTATAAATGAGTGATTTGAGGATCCCACTGAGCACCCAGGGCAGGGGGGAAAGGTGCCTTGGGTTCCTTTGCCTGGCTGGGCTGCAGGGAGGGAGTGGAGGATGCACCATCTGCAATCCCATCTTGTCCTGTGCATGTCTGAGGAGCTTCTTGCTTTTTCCCAGTAGAGAAATCCCTGCAAACTGCTGAATTCTGTGTTTAAACCAAGCCAAGGGGAGTTTCCTTGGAGAGCAGGGCAGCTCTGGCACCCCAGAAATGGCATTCCCACAGACCAGGGGGAATTTTATTCGGCAGTCCTGTGGCAAGTGCTGGTTTGTGCTGATGGAAGAAATTCCCTCTTGTTTGGGAGAATAATTGTAGATTAGGTTTCAGCTTGGAAAAGTGACGAGGGGCAGCTTCAAGTTCAAAAATCCTGGTGACTTAGAAGCAAATAGAATCATAGAGTTACAGAATCAGCCCAAATCTTGGGCTGGACTTTGTGGAGGGGTTGGTGTTGTGGATGGGAAAGGGATTTGATTTGGGGGGGCAAAGCAAAACTTGATCTCCATTCTTATCACCCACTCTCAGGGTGGTAGCACTTTGGATGTTTCCAGACCCACCATTCCCAGGGAAAAATGAGCTCTGGGGTTTTTAGGAGTGTGTCCCAGGTTTCTGGAGGTGTACGTGGGGGTCCCTCCTCCCTCCCGTGGACGGTGCTGATTCCGTGCCCTTCTCCAGGCACGAATTCCTCTCTCCCTGGGAGTTATTTTAGGCCATGTCCTTTCTCCCAGCCCCAGCAGCTGTGCCCTAAGCAGCTCCATTCTCCCTCATTCCCGTAATTATTAACAAAACCGAGCTGCTGGTGTTAATTGGAGCCCAGCAGGGCCGTGGCAGCCGGCGCCAGCCCTGTAAGAGGATTATTCACTTGCTGTTTCATTGACCTCCATCCAGTTCCAGGGGGGAAATCCAGCAGCACGAGGCTGTTCCCAAAGCCCTGGCTGCACTACGAGCCAGGGGGACGTAAATCATGGGGTCAGAGGAAGAGTCATGGAACGGTTTGGGTTGGAAGGGGCCTTGAAGATCATCTCGTGGGGCACTTTCCACTGGCTCAGGTTGCTCCAAGCCCAGTCCAACCTGGCCTTGAGCCCTTCCAGGGCTGGGAATTTCTATGTATACAGGTAGATAGATAGTTATAGATAGATAAATAGATACAGATTTATATGGTTTGTGTCATTCTTAGGGAATAAGGCTCCTGTGTCATTCCTGGGAGTTGACTTTGGGTTTTTCCCTTCCGTGTGATGTCGGATCAGGCTCTGTACCCCTGAAAGGTTCTCCTGTGCCTCGGCCCTGCAGAGGAATGGAAATGCTGATCCCACACGGCACAGGCAGGAATGCCCAACCCCCCCAACTCTGCAGCTGGAGGTGGAGTTCCCACCTTCCAAAGGTCGTGGAAAACAAACAGATAAAGCTCTTGGGAGCTGGGTTAAATCTGCCACTTCTGAACCTGGTATGCTGATCCAGGGGGATAGGGCATGGCAATCCGCTTTTTGCTGTCCTACCCCAACATTTGCGCACCCAGTTGGGCGGCGTCCCTTGACCTGCTGCTCTGGGGTGGGAGCACTCAGCTTTTCCAGCTTTTCCTGGGGGCGGGGAAAGGCATGTTCTCTCATGTGGGGCTTGTGTGCCACGGAAATGGCTTTGTCCTGATGCCCCACTCGAGGGGAGAGGTCAGGAAGATGCTCCATAGGGCAGGGTGGCAGAGCCTGGGTGCCTGGGACCCTCCAGAGCCCCCTGTGACACCTTGCAATTCCTTTCCCTGACTAATACTCGCTTTTACAAGGGTTTCTGCATTTTTCCTCCATGGTGGAAAAGGGTTTTGTAGGCCCAGGGGGAGTGGGGACAGTTGGTCCTCACATCCTCTCCAACACTGCCAGTGACTTCCCTGAATGTTTCCCGTGCCTTGTAGGTGTCTGTAGGTAATGCTTCCATCCTGCAAAATGGGAAAAGGGTTGTGTCAGCTGGGAAATCCAGCCCCAAACCACCCCTCATCTCACCTGGAGTTTACCTGAGCACTCCCCCAGTGAGCTGGGATGGAGTTGCCTTCCCTCCCACCAGCCCCTGTAAGGGAGATCATCCCTGAGCCTTCCCTGGGAAGGCTCTGGAACAGCAGGAGTGGCTTAGGCTGGCAAGCACAGATGGGATGTTGGGAAGGAGCAAAACAATCTTGGGAAGTAGGACAGAGAGGTGAGGGGCAGGTTTTCCCCGTGGCTGTAGGACGAGGCTGCTCCACCCCCCACACGCTGCAGTGATTGTTCACTCGCTTCATCACTCCCATTTCCAGCTCCCAGGTGTTAAATAAGGCTCCTCAGAGGAGAGCAAAATAAATTCTCTCCCAGAATTATGTTCTGGGAGACCCCACAGAGAAAACTATGAGTTCATCAGGTGCATTTTGCAAGAACAATTAAAAATAACTGACCCTGACACCACGAGGGTTGAACGAGATCAAGGAAAGCTGAGAACAAACAGGCTCCCCATTTCATAAGATCTTGGTGTTCCATCCCTATCCTTCTCACCTTTTCCACCTGAAACTGGGGAATATTCCTCCCAGGAGTGTTCCCACTGCATTCCAGCACCCCTTCCAGCTTGTCCCTCCCCTTTCCCTGGGTGCTGTGAGCCCTGAGGGCTCTGCCCACCCCTGGGGGCTGGGACTGGGATGTGCTGATGGAACAGGGTCACCATCACCACACCTGCAGCAAAGTCACCCCGTGGTCAGTGCCCACCTGCTCCCTGGGCATCATTTTTGGGCTGAAAAAGCCCCAGAATGGGGCATTTTGCCAGGGGGAAGCTGCACTCAGGGTCCCCCAGCTGAAAAGAGCAGTGAGTGGCAGAACGAGGCGAGACAAAGCACACACAGTTGCTTTCAGGCTGATATGTAGATTTATGCAGAAAACAAATATAAAGAGCTGCATCTGCTGCAAGTGGAGTATAATTCATCATCAGGGAAGAGGGCTTGTTTCCTCACAGCCACATTTGCTGTAGCTCCATATTTTAATTTTCCCTGGGTTTGCGTGTCACGA